GGGGGGGGCGCCTGAGAAATCAATCAATGCCGCCGCCGACGCGCCCGAGCATTTTGGGGGAACCGAAAGCCGACACCAGCGCCAATAAATTATTTGTCCCGTGAAAATTTGAATTGCGTTTTGGGCCAGCATGACCCCGCCCTGGCCCGCGGAAGCGCACGGCGGCCGGGGGCGGCGGGGGAAGGGAGACGTTGCGCAGCAGGTGGGAGGGGGAGCAGGAAACAACCAGCGCAAGCGAGAAGCGAAACGGGCGGGCTCTCTCGGGAGAGGAGGGGGGACAAATTGAAGCACGCGGCAAGCTCCATGACCGAAGCATCACTCCCCCCACCGCCGCCCTCCCCCGCGCTTCCCCCCGCCCGCTCGTCCCTCTCAAATGCCCCCTCCCCCCCCCCCCTCCCTTCCCTTCCGCCCCCCTCTCCGCGCCTGCCCTCTGTCCGCCCGCGTCGCATCCCCGACCCTCTATTTGCCCGTGGCCAACGCCCGACGATGCGGAGCCGCCAACTCCCCGCGAACAGGGGCGGCGGCCGCCCTGCGCGTCTGGGGCCAAAGACCGTGGCTCCCTCTTGACCTGGGCCCGCAACCCCTGGCGAACTTCCGAAATCGTCGAAGGGTTCAGCTCGCCCATGGGGCCGCCGTTCCAGAGGGGGCCCTGGTGCCGGCGTCGGCATTTTGATGTTGCAGGGAACGAAAAGCCGGCACCGACACCAAGACGCCACACGAAAAGTTGAAAGCGCTTTCCCTGTGGGGGGCTGAGCGACCCAAACGAGCGCGGAATGCTTGAGATGGCTCGCATTGCTCCCCGAATTTGCAGGCCATGGGGCTTGCATGACAGAGAAGCGCCCCGCGTGGCTCATGGCGCCCCCGAGGGCCCATAGGGCCCCCGTGGTCCGCGGGATTCGCAAGGCCCAGAAACCCGATGCGGCCCTGACGAGTCAGGGGGCCCCTGGGGCCCGCGCGGCTTGCTAGGCCAGCGCGGCGCATTGGGTCCACGCGCGCTGCGGCGCACGTGCGGCCCGAGAAACCTTCGTGGGACTTGCGGGGTTCATCGGGCCGGCTGGGTTCGCGCGCCCACGGGCCTCGCGCGGCCCATGGACATCCTAACGCTCGCCTTGGGAAATAGAAACGACCCGCCTTGTTCCCGCGCGCTCGGAGCTGGCATCCATCAGCGCGGGGCGCGCGAGCCCAAAGACACGGGCGACGGCAGTCAACGGACGCTGTTTCTCTTCCAAACAGGACCTCGGCGTCGGCGTCGGACCCCGACGCGCCGAAATTTGTCGGCAGATCCCAGGGGGGCATCTTGAGGCCCAGAAAGCGCCCTGCCAGCAGATGCAGATCGCAAAAGACATCGCGCCCAGCGCGGTCGCAACCTCGCTGCCTCACCCACTCCTTTTAAAACGGCAGTCGCCTACCAGAGGGGGCCCAACTTGCGGCTCGTTTCTCAAGGCGGCGCTGCTGCTGGCGGCGCTTGAAACGGAGCTTCGCGAGGGTCTCATGATTGTTGGACTCTCTGAGGGCTACGTCTATGGCGCCGGGATCAGCACTCTGCAACTGATCGAGGTCCGCGGCAAATCTGCCGGGGCCGAGATGCCGCGGTCGTCCGCTGCAGACGTCGCGGCCAAGCGTTACCCGCGGAATATGGCGCGCCTGAAGAAGGGCGGAGCCACGCTTCCCGCATTGCCCCCGGACGACCAGGGCGGCCGAGAGGCGATAGATGATCCGAGCAAGCTGGGGCGAGGGGTCGCGATTCAGCCACGCGTGTCAGGCGAAATTGGCGCGCTCCACCACTGCGCACTTGCAAGGTTCGACCGTGGGATTGGCGCTCGCAAGAAACAGCCCCCAGGCGAGACTCCGTGAATCCCTGGGCGCAGCTGACGCCTGGGATTCCCTCGTGGATCGGGCGCTCCCCAACAACGATCGCCGAGCCCCCCTCGGGGTCTGCGGACACGGGGGCGCGATCGTGCATGTCAGCGCGGGGCGGAACTTCGACGGGGCTTCTCGCTACTAAGCCCACCGAGAGGGGCGAAGATCCTGTTCGCGACGTGCGTGGAGGCGTTAGCTAGACAAGGGCGGTCCGCGCGCTCGCGCTAAGCTCCCACAAGCGCGCAGAAGAAGTCCAGCCCCGCCAGCGCGCCACTCGCGGCAGCCGCGAGGCAGTCCTGGGCGCGGCGTCAGAGGGCTGATCTTGATCGCCAGCCAAGACCGCGCGGGCGCGATCGGGGATGCACTTAGCATGATTCAAATCCATCTCGCTGGGAAGTGCAACCCGGGCCTGTTCGCCGTTGGACAACGCGAGATTGGAACAGTCCAATGCGAAGCAGGCAGCCGCCAGGCCCGCTGAAAATCGCAACCACATCCGACACCACCTGGAACTAAGACCCGAGCTCGAGTGGCAACTAGGGCACCCTGATGTGGAGATAGTGTCAGCGGACCACCAATATACGCGTTCCCCGCGCCATCATTTGCATCGACGAAGGATTGAAACATCTTGGCCCGCTTGTGCACATGATATACCGCATCCTCTGCCTCCGCTTGCGCCCCGCGGGCCTCCAGGATCCCGGGGGCGGCGGCGGGGGCGAGGGGTGCCCCGAGAGCAACGTTTCGCCTCGCAGAGGCGAAGGTCGCGGCGTGGAAGAGCTCGAGCATTCCAGCTGGCAGTCGTCGAAATTGAACGAGCGGCGGATGATCCTCGCCGCGCCCGAAGCAACTGCTAAAGGCGCCACTCAAAGGTCTCGCCCTCGGCGAACAGGTTGCGCGCGGCGAAGCGGGCCGCGGGCGCGCCCATCTCCGCCGCCGCCGAGCTCCTCGCTGAAGTGGATGGTCGGCGCCCGCGAGCCTGAGACTGGCTGGGGAATTCCCCAGCCAGTTGGAAGGGTTGGTCTTTAAAGACCACCCCCCTCCAACTCCAGCTGGCCACGCCGTTCTCATTGTCCACAAAACGCTTGCGATTCGGGTGAGCCGCGGCGATCGCGAGCATGATCTTCTTGCGCCCAAGCTCTCGTGCCACTGTATTCGGGCTCTTGTCGGTGCTGGTGGACAGCTCGGCATCAAGCACACATAAGGGCGATGGCGCCGTAACTCTCCTCCATCCAGCATTTCGATCGACCGGGAAGCTTGAGTGCGCCCACGGCCTGACCAACCATGTACCCCGCGTAGCCCCGCTGGCCCTTGACCACGGTCTGATGCCGCGCGTCCACCGTCTTGCCCTCGACGGTGTACGCGTCACCGTCCAGGCTGCTGTCCGTCAGCCAGCGCGCCACCTCCTCCGCCACGCGCTCCCTGGGGGGCGGGATCTGCGACCGCGCCTCGAGGATCGTCGGGGCGATCGTCCTGTCGGAGCCTCCTCCGTTGCCAGCAGGACGGCCAGCTGGTTCTATTTGCACGCGAGCCTCGGCAAGTCCTGCTGCACCTCCTGCCCCTCCTTATCCAATCTGGTGGTACGAGTATCTTGAACTGCCCCTTTGTGCCCCACGTCCCCACGTGGTAAATCCTCTTCTCCACCGCCAAATCAATGCTAGAAGAGCGCCCCCCCAATCGTAACGTTGAGTCCTGACGGCGATTGCGGCATGATCTGCGAATTGGCCATGACGTCCGAACGGTTCTTGACGATGTACTGTTCGATCTGCATGCGCTATTGGCCCTCATCTTCACAAGGCTGTGTGCGGTGGCGGACAAGTCCAGCAGCGTAACTAACAGAGGCGACGAGGGTGTCGTCGGTGTCAAACGAGACCTGTGGGCAATGTCTGCAGGAGACGAGCCGCCAGTGCCAGCGCGGACTGCTCCAGGCCGCTCACCGTCACCACGGGCTAGAATGACACACGCACACACAAACAAACAAACAAACAAACAAACAAACAAACAAACAACCAAACAAGCACACGCGATCCACATTGTGTCCGAAACGATGATGTCGGCAACGTGCTTGCGTCCAGTAAGGCTTGCCGTTTCTGCGTCGAGAGGACGCCGTCCCCCACCACATCGAAGTCCCTGGAAATGTCGCGGACCTCTTTGTTGTCGCCAGCCTCGTCGAAGGTGTTGCGCCCCACCGATCGGCCAGCACGCTTGCTGCCAGAGGGCGCGGCGCCAGCGGCAGCAGACATGGCGCGACCCCGAGCCGATATGCTGCGACCTGGGACAGCACGAGAATCAAAGAGGGCGCAGCAAGCGCCGCGGCCTCCCGGCGGCCACAGAAGGCGGCTCGGTTCACCCTGCGGAGGATAGTCCACAGCGAATCGCTGGTTCTCAAGTTTGTATAGCCCTTCACAATGTTAGCCTTGAGCTAAGATGGCTACGGACCCTCTTGCAGTTTCCCTTCCTCCTCCCTCCCGTGCCTTCTCCCTGTGTTTGTTCATCTCTCCCTCCCCTTCCTGTTTTGAGGGCTGCGGCGACTACGCGTGGCAGGTGAGGAAGATACCACCCAAGGGGGAAACGATCGAAGACGAAGAGAGCGGGTATCGAGGGCTTGCGGTACACATGTTGATTGACACACGGTCAAATAAGAAGGAACAACCTTAACCTGATTGTCTGGGCCCGCCCGCCCGCCCCGCCCCGCCCCGCCCCGCCCGTCTGGTACTGTCACTTGCTGTTCTGCCCCTCAGACCCACTCCTGCTAATCTCCATCCTTCTCTGTCCCCGTTTTCCTTTCACTCTTCCGTTGCCTTGTTGTTCGGGCTACGCCGACTAAGCGTGACAGGTATGGACGATATATCAAGAGGGGTATGATCGAATACGTAGAGGGCGGGTATCGAGGGCTCGCGATATACATGGGGAGCAACGCGCGAGCAGATAAGAACGAACAGTCTTGAATGCTTGTTGTTGTCGTCGTCGTCCTCGCCCGCGATACGCCCCTCGACCCACCCAACGACCCACCCAACGACCCACCCCGCGACCCACCCCGCGACCCACCCCGCGACCCACCCTGCGCCCCCACCCTCACTTTGACACGCAGCTGTGGGGTGCTACATCTCTAACTGATTCTGTGGCGCTGATTGGGGCCCTCTGGCCTCCCTGATCTGCTTGTTGTTCTTCTTCAGGAACTCCTCCCTCCACCCTGCGTCGCGGGCCGCGCCACCCGCCGTGGGCGTTGCTGGCACTGCCTGGACGTTCACGTCTCCCTTCGCCAGCATGAAGCAGAGCATGCGGAAGAGCAGGGCCTCGAACTCCTCGCGGCTAACGCCCCCCTCGGTACGCCCACCGTGCTTCTCGAACATCCTGCGCGAGAAAGGAGCACTGCATATATATATATATACATACATACATACATACATACATACATACAGACAGACATACAGACAGACAGACAGACAGACAGACAGACAGACAGACAGACATACATCTATATACGTACATGTACATATAAATACGCAGAGCCCTTCGGAGGCCCGCGCGGAGCTGTTGGATCGACGCGGGACCCCTGGCGCGCGCCAGCGCGCCAGAGGCGGCGCCGGAGGCGCTGCCAAGAAGGTCCGGCACGACTCCCGGGAATCCGCGCGGAGGCCCAGGGTGCGCCCTATATAGGGGAACAAGCAATGACATAAACATGAAAAACTCGGAGGTCTGGGCGGATTTCTCGGATCGGCGCTGGACCGCCCTGGCGGCGCCTCTGGCGCCGCCCCTGGCGCGCAGAGCGCGCCAGGGAGGGGGGTCCAGCGCTGATCCGAGAAATCAGCGCGGACCTCCGAGTTTTTATGTTTATGACATTGTTCGTTCCCCTACTATACTGGATCCGGAAGCGGTGCCGCGTGGCCTCCCCGTGTGGTTTCCCGTGTGGCCTCCCGGAGGCGCAGGAAAATCCCTAGCCCTATCCCCGCTCGCGAGGCCTGGGCCTCACTGGCCAGTTGACCCCCCCTATAGATGGGGATATAAGCAGATCTCGCAGGGTAGATCCCCAGCTGGGGGGATGAGATGGTGGGGGGGCCTGGATGGGGGGGGGATGGGTTTCGGTTATCGGGAATGGACAGAAAGCCCTGTAGCAAAACATTGCTTAGCGACGACGACCTCGGGCCTCAATCTGGCGGGAGCAAGCCTGGAACATGACGGCCGCAGCGCCCTCTCGAGAACCGAGAACGGACCATTCACGCATCGACGTCTGTCCACCCCCGACACAGCAAAATGGCATCCTCCCTCCCGAAATCTGCTGCTCCGGGGCTTCTGCCGCCGGGGTGCAACGCTGGTGCAGCTTGGTCCTCCTCGGCTCCTCGCGATCCCCTGCGGGCCGGGGTTGGGCATCTCCTGGGGAAGCCAAGAGGTACCAGTACGGTCGAGGGAAACAATTACTGAACACTCCCCCTCCACCCCAAACTCAAAGTTGGCACGCGCGGGGGAGACAGCGGTCGACGTGCAACTCATCAGACCCACCGCCAACTTTGAACATTGGGGGGAGGGGGAGGCGGTGACAGATGAATGTGGCAGGAGTGTTCGCAATGTTTGTCCTGAAGCCTGTGCCACTACTCCCCGGACCTCGCCCAGGGAGTGTTCTGACTAGGATTCCGAAGCGAACCCAGCGCGGCGGCGAGGGCCTCCCAGGAGGCCCAGGGAGGGGACAACGAAGGAAGGGTAGCGGCATGGGTACCTTCTCCTCCTCGGATCTCCAGGTCCGCGCACAGCGTGCCCATCGCATCGGAGAACTCCTGCAGGCCCAGCGGCCTCTCGGCGACCCCCGGCAGACCGGGCCTCCGGAAGGGCCTGTCCGCGTACTCCCTCATGAGGTCCTTGCTCCGCATCAGCGCCGCGGCCTTTGCGCACGACCGAAATGGGTGCGGAGAAATGGGTACGATGCCCAGCAGCACATGTTGTCCAACATCGACAGCTGCCGCCGTTAGGCAGGCGAACTCTGGTCTTGAATGGGCAACGTTCGCCGCGGCACCGACAGCGACTCCTGCTCAACATGGGGTCTTCGTACCCAATCTTTCCATACTTCAGGTTCGTGTCCTGCCGACCTCGGCGTTGGCTTCTGACACCACGTGGATCGTTCCATCTTGAACGATCGACCGTTTCCGAAAGGTCAGACCGTTCAACATCGACCGACTCTGGGTCGCTGGCGGAAGCCACGTTGAAGGCGGCGGGTTTGCCGCCAGTCGACACGACGCGAACCTTAGAGGAACCAAAAACGGCAGGAACATAAACTTTCGGCGGTCCGTGCGGATTTCTTGGCGCGCCAGGGGCGGCGCCGGAAGCGCCGCCGGGGGGGCCCGGCGCGGATCCAAGCAATCCACGCGGAGTGCCAGAAGTTTATGTTTATGCCGATTGTTCTTCTTCGAAACCTGCCGCGCCTATAGTGGAGGCCAGAGGCCAGTCCACAAGAACACTTCCACAAGAAACCCAACCCTGGAACCCCAGGAAGTCCATCGATTTTTTGGTGTGGGAACGTCACGCCTTGCCCACTGCAAAACCATCGAAACCCAAGAAGCCCAGGGCACCCTGGACGCAAGCAGGGTGCTTCTTTGCATGGGACCCCAGTGTACCCATTTCTTGAGCAGGGACCGACCGTCCCGGCATTCCTATAGTCCTACTACGACATGTTCTTAGAACCACAAAATGTTCTAAGAACAAAAGCAATGTTCTTATAACACATACCCGATGTGTTACCACAGGACAGTCCCAGCCAGAAGTGTTCTAAGAACATCTCGTGCAGACCACAAAAGGACCTCAGAACAGTGTCTGGTGGGGCTATAGGCGAACCAGGACGCTTCGCCATTGCTTGACTACCTACCAAACCACCCCAACCCAACCCGAAGACCCGCATTTCGGGCTGGCGGGGGTAATTATGGGCTCCACATGTGCTTTGTCGATGTTCCCGGGACCCCCCCCCATCAGAAATCGAGGGTAAATCTGAGCCTTCGGGCTGGGTTGGGGTGGTTTGGTGGGTGGCGACTGCTTGAACATTTCGATCGCGCCGCGCCTTCGTCTGGCCCCGCGTGCCCATGCTCAGCCGGCTCGCCCCCGCGCTGCCCGCCCCGATCCCGGCGCCGCCGGCCCCGGCGCCCCGCGCGGCGGGCGAGGGGGCCTCAGCGGGGCCGCGCGGCGGCGGCGGGAGCGGCTGCTGCTGCTTCGGGAGCGGCTGCGGCTGCGGGAGCGGCTGCTGCGGGAGCGGCTGCTGCGGGAGCGGCTGGAGCTGCTGCTGCTGGGCCTGCTGCTGGAGGTGCTGCTGCTGCGGGTAGCCGCCGGGCTGGCCCGGCCGCGCCGCGGCGCCCGCGAGGGCGCCCGGAGCGGCGGCGGGGGCGCGCCTGGCGCGCAGGGCGAAGGACAAGACGCCGGTGGTCTCGCCCTTCTTCATGAGCTTCACCGTGTACTGGTCCCGGGGGTGCTGCAGCGCCTTCTGGACGTCGACGGCGCCGGCGCCGCACAGCCTCTCGTCGCCGATCAGGCCCTTGACCTGCGGGGAGCCCAAACATACGGGTACCGCCACTCCCTGCACCTCTCCTGGGGTGCGTCCCGACCAGAGTTTCGAGGATAATTCAGCCGTGGCAAACAAGGGCTCTCCAGAACAAGCGGTACATGATATTCCTACTCCTGCGTTCTTGCAGTTCGCTTGGTTCGTTATGTGAGGCAGTTGATTACAAACCCATCCCCGATTTGAGCCATGTGAGAAAATAGGTTGTCGCTGGGGAGCGGTTATTATGCCAGCCCCTTGCCACATCTCGATAACGCAACAAGGACACCGAGTGGTTCACCAACGCCGCCGGCGCCACAAAAACGAACACAAATGCCAACATATCGCATCCAGGGCATGTTGAGGCGGCACCGTCGCCACTGGGTTGTGGCAATGCAGCTCCTCCTCCTCCTCCTCCTCCTCCTCCTCCTCCTCCTCCTGCCTCCTCTTCCTCCACCTCCTCCTCCTCCTCCTGCCTCCTCCTCCTCCTCATACTCCTCCTCCTCCTCCTCCTAGAACTTGGCAATCTGAGGACCAGCACTCTGAAGACCAGCGTGCGGCCCTCCTGGGAGATCGGGACCTTTGCGGGGTGCTTCGAGAAGTGCCCCTGGCCAGAGGTGCCCCCAGCCATTCGCGCCTGCTTGGAATTAGGTCGGGCATGCCCCCCTACAGGCGGATTCTGGACGACAGAACATCAATACATGTTCAAAACAAATCACAAGTAGTTCAACATCGTCCCCTGACTATTGTTTGGACTGGTTTTGACTACGCGCCCGACATAAAACCCCAGCCCTTCGCGCCTGCTTGGAAGCCAGGGGGGCCGCCTGGGGGGCCTTCCCGGGAACCCCCGAGGAGCACCTGCAGAGCAAGAAAACACTGCATCAACAGACAGCGGAGGTCGATCCACCAAAAACCTTCAACAAGAAACCCAACCGTTGTCGCCGTCGTC